TCAACACAACTTATTATCTGGAGAACATCCTCCAAAAGTCCTGCCTTGATGCCCTTAACAGGACGGCAAGGGGAGGATCGATTTTGGAGCGTCGCATGGTTGAGAAAAGGTCAGAGGCCATCTTCATGCATGACAATGCCCCTTGTCATGCCTCCAAAGCCACCACTTCCTGGTGTCAAAAAAACCTGCCAGCATTCTGGGGTAAGGACAAGTGGCCAGGCAACAGCCCTGACATAAATCCCATAGAAAATCTCTGGCAGATTCTCAAGGAGGAGGTCAAGAAGATGAAGCATGCCACAAGCCGTGAGCAGCTTATTCAAGAAGTGAAAAATGCATGGGCCAACTTGGACCCAGGCATTCTCAAAAACCTAGCAAGCAGTATGCCTCAGCGAATGCAGATGGTAATCAATATGAAAGGAGATTACATTGGGAAATGAGACATGTTCATAGCACTCTTTGGAAGAGAATAAAATTAATTTTTCCTTTGTTGCAATACTTTTGACCCATACTGTAATACACTAAAGAATCAGTTGCCTTTTCCACAAAACTACTTCATCCATGCTCAAAATATTTTTTGTCTTGGCTAAATCTCAACTCCATCTTTATTTTGCCTTTAGTTTATCTTAATTCAGGCTCCAAATTGCAAGGAATCTCAATCCCTTCTTTAATATTGAATTGCCTTATTAGTTGCCATGAAAACATTACCAGATGCAAATGTCACTCAGTGCCAATGAAAGATGAACCCTTCAAGGGCCATTAACACTTGAAGCTCACTGCGGAAAAGAAACCCAAATTACTTTCACCCTAGGAGCAATCACCCCAAGGTATTATTGCAATAAGAAGCCATAATTTTTAATTTTTAGAGGTACAGTCGACTCCACATAATGGAATATTCAGCCTATTGGAATACCATTGGTTGGTTCAGAATCACAATATGATACAGCAGATAGTTTCGGTTATTGGAATACTCTGGATTATAGAATCTGATCTCTGATCTCAGGAGTATTTCAATATGTGGATTCAACTGTATATGGGCAGATAAAATAGAAAAATTGCAAAACTGAAAAAAAGTATAGTCCATGGCATTGGAATGAGGCCATTCAGTCTGGAGTCCAATTTTAAGTATTTGAACACAACAGGCTAACATTGCCCAGCTTTGTTGCATTCCTCTCCTTCCATTTTGAAAGGATGCATATGTGTTTCACTGGTTCTTTCTTCCCAAATTTATACAGACAGCATTCTGTTGGGGAAGAAATTTCTACAACCAATATATTTGGGAGAAAAAACTTCCAGAGGCATGAGATTACAAGTTGGTCGCTTTTACTGCAGAGTCAGCCAAGTTAGGAGGAAGGCAACCAAAGCATGCATATCAATGGAAAGAAAATAACTAGACTTACCTTGAATCCCCTCATCATGAGAGGGATGACAACATCTCTTTCCTTCTCTGTCATCTTGGTAGATACTCCAAGGAGCATCATCATGTTATCACATTCGGTGACTCCCATGGCAAAAAGATCACTCAACACATTTGCACATGCAATCTTACCTGTTGGAAAAAAAAAATTCCCTGTATTACTGCATTTATAAAGATTAAAGTGACCAACCATTCTAGCGTGAAAGGAGATGTAACATTTCCCCAAACAGATGGGGACAACAGCTTTGTCTTCTTGAAAGAAGCACCTGTTACCTAATGTGGTATATGTCATGAAAAAGACCATCCACTCTGTATTCAAATATATAATTCAAGTCCAGAGAACTATACCTCTCCAGCATGTGAAACAGCTTAGGCAACCATTCATCATGAAGTTATGGTTCCAGAAATTGTCTTCAACAAATAATGGAGAATGATCTTCCTCCCAAAATATGAGGAAAAGGAAAGGAAGAGTTACTTCTTCCAGCATGTGTGTCACTGTTTCAATATCAAAAACTACACAAAGCAACAAAAACAAAAAAAAAATTGCCAGCCACAGATTGGAAATGAACCCTAACTAACCCATTAAGATGACTACACTTTCTGAGAATCACTGCAAGAACATGTCTGCAAGTGAGTAAACATCTCAAATATGCAGGAACTGAAAGCCAAAAATGTGATAAAATCTCAGGGTGATTGGTGATGTTAGAGTCCTATCTCTCTCAAAATAGGCAATGACAACTTTTACTTTGGGTGTCCAGAAAGTAATGAGAATCATTTGTAAATTTGTAACTCTACATGCAATGCACTTCCCACTGCTCAGGCATTTAGATCAATGTGTAATCTCTGGGATTGCCAATTTTCAAGTCAATCTATCGAGATGTGCTTACAGAGTAGATCTCAAAAGACAGCTTTATAAGCTCAGTGCAATGCAGCTGTTTTCAACAATTTTGATACAGCTACAAGCACTGAAAACTTTTGCTTCTGTGCATTCATGTGGTTCAAACCTGGCATTGTGGCCACTGCCTTCACCACGTGTACACATTTTTTTATGAAAAACAACTGTCCCCATATTGTGCACACATTCTACTATAAATTTTACTTGATTTAACTCTTTCTGACAGGAAAAATCGAATGACACTTTGCTGTTCAACAGTGGTGCAATCTGAATTCAAGGTTTCCATTTTAAAAACTGTCAGTGACAATGCTGCCAACTTTATGTTGCTGAAACTATGAGTACTACATGTTCAGACATGCAGTAATGAGTACATAATGGATAAATAATGTCCATGAAAAATATAAATTCACCTTAGTTATTGACTCCCCCTTGTATATCTTCAATACCATTACAAACAATGACTAAGCTTCAGTTCCAAGACAAAGACAGAAAAATGCTGCAGTATTCCAAATTTCATAAATACTACACAACTCTAATTTTTATTGTTGTCTAACAAGATAAGCTGAATGCTAGCATCAATGAGAGCAAAATGTGGCTTATTAGGTCCAGTTCAACTCCTCCTTTATTCAATGTCTCTAAGAAGGATATAAGATAAGCAAGTGATCAAAGGAGGTAAATATCTTTCACTGTATGATACAAATGAAATACAGAGTGATTTTTTTTATTAGTATATCCAAAGAAATTAAAAACACAAAGGGGCCTGGAATGAGATAAACATGAATTTAGTGGAATTATAGTACAACCCTTGTAGAGTGTTGCACTAGTTTGTTTCAAGATGGGGTTAAACTTAGAACAGTGAGTCTTTGAGCTGAAAAGTTATGTAAAAAATGGTTACTTTAAAGTGTGTCAGGCAAAATTTGGTACGAGGTTCAGAAGGGGAAATGTCTCAAGTAAAGCTGGAAAATGGAAATTTATAGTGATTCCAAAGGAAAGGTAGTGTATTGAATCAAAAGTGCATACACACAACTGTTGTAACAAAAGAGCAGTAAGGGATGCATAATGCAATACAGCCCCTCAAATTCTGCTGTGAATCCATAATTTCAATTTTGATTTTCAATTAAATTGAAAATTGATTTTCAACTGGTCTGTAATTGCACAGATTTCCATGTCTCTGTTTGCTGGTTTGTGTGCAATGTACAGTTTTTTGGGTTTACCAAAAAAAAAAACACCCTGTATTATGCATTTTTCTGCTGATTTCCAGCTGGAACAAGCAATTTCATAAATGAGCAATTCATTTTCATACATGATCATGTATGCCTCACCAGTAAAACACATTTACTCAATTTAATTAATGGAAGGTTTCATCAATTCAGGCAACACATTCCATTTTGCTATTGTCATTCAATTTCATCGTTGCCATATTTGTTGAGAAATGCAAAAAGTCCTGTATGTAGTGTCTTTTATTGGTTCAATGTATCCCTTGCTACTCGATGGTTGACCTCAATTCTGGTTATTTCATCTGGAATTGCAATTGAAATTTGAAGTGAAAACTCTTTTGCAACTAAATTTTTGACAAAGATTCCTGACTCAATACACCCTATTATTTGCATCTATATCTATCAATTAAAAACATGGCAATATAAGTACTTTTTATTGAACTAGGAACCATCCCAAAATGATCTGATTCTGACAACTAGAGTTTGGCCCTTATGCACTAAGGTAAAAGAAGTGCAACATGTGGGATGATCTAATAGTTTCTGCTCTGTGATAGGAAAGTGAAAGACTCAAATTTGTTTTTTCAACGTAATTCCCATGGAAGTCAATGCTTGTGCCATCAGTAGGACAGGTATAAACCTCATGAGGAAATAATACTTTTTTCATAGTCATCTAAAAATGCTTGGACTTTAAATAGGAAAATGGAGAATGCTTCACTGAATGAAAGTGGTCACTTATTTTGCTACTTCCAATAAAACTTTTCTCAACATTTTATAGCAACCAATGAATTATTTTGTTTGAATAAAGTTCCATCACCACACTATATTCAATTTTTTCCATTTTTATATTTGACAGAAACATTCTTCCAATGCCACTGATGTGTAAAAAAAAATAAATGTAGTGTGAGTCACTGCAAATCAATTACTCACATAGTTATACTCATATCACAATCTGATGAACAATAAGAACAGTTGGCAATCCTTTAGATCTGAAGCTAGTCAAGTATATGTCAAATGGGGATCATGTCCATGCAATGCTATGCTCATTATTTTTTTTACTACTGTACACTTCTCATACATGCATAAATAAATGGTTCCTTACTGAGGCTTCATTTGGAGTGTGTCTTGTCTAATGCCTCAAATGCTTTCATAGTGTAAGCAAAAGCATTCTTCTAATCATTAGGGCACAAGAAGCAATACAAGTTGCTTCAATGGTAACATTAATTACTTTGGAGTGAATCTGGAGCATAAATCAATTTTTAAATTGGGATTTAAGTGCAACTGAGACAGCCACCCATAGGGAGAATATATTATGGGACTGAAAATAGCCTGAGAATGTGAAGTAAGAGATATCAAAATGACTGCCAGAGAATATCACAGATGGGGATAATGGTTGAACTGACATGCCTTCTTTTTTTTATAGGTTACAAAAAAATAAGGTAATAACATATATGACCCTAAAAATGCCACAGTCAACATAAGTGGAAAGATATAGAATGACAGGGACAGGAAGAGCTAATAGTCAACAGAGATCCAGATATCAAGGGACTGAGCACACACCATCTACCTTGTCACAAGAAAGCAGCCCACAAGGAAAGAAGGGAGCAGATGAAAGAGCCAAAAGGACAAGCATATCTTTGAGGTTTTTAGATCCATGGGATGATGGTCATGGTGGGTATACCTAGAGAGCACTTTTGAAACCATTCCCTCTTGATATGTGGAAAAGTGGAGTTTTCTTACTGAAGTTTCAATGAATGCTGCTCTTTACCCAAACAACCAAGACTTCACAACTTCCATTAAACATACTTTTGAGTGTTTTCTACAGTAGGATTTATAAAGACTCAAACAGGACACATTACCTTTGCACCACCCCAATACTTCCCCATAAACTTGAAACTTCCAGTTTGCATCTCTTTCTCAAGTCACAATATATTTTTCATGACAAGGGAAATTGCTAAATTTTTTTATTATTTTTGAAACCACTGTTGAGCATTGGTTCTCAAAATTAGAGGAAGAGAAGTTCATGCAAAAGTGGACAAGCTTGCTTGCATGTCAATGCATACATCCACAAAACACTTTAGGCATTCATATTCTAATATAAGAAACAAATGGAATCAACATAATGAAAATTCTGTGAAATAGATCATATTTCCATTTAAAGAGTGTGGATTTCATTTCATCTAATAATCTTATATGCCTTTCATTGCTTCACAATTTAATTTGGGAGAATTTTCCAAGTAGCTACTATCATCTCTCAACAAATGCTGAATTTTGTTAATTGGTAACAAAAATTATACAATCATTAGTAATGTCACACAAAAGTAAGCTAAGCATTTGAGACATCCAAGACATGTCTCGATAAGGGGGGGGGGGGGGTAAAAAAAAAAATTTCTTTTCAGAATACCTCCATCCAATATTGAATTGAGTGTGGCTAATGTTTTTTGGCTGTGATACCTGAGATGAATAAATAAAATTTATGTCAAGTTGAAAATTAAATCATGTGCAGGAACTCCTCAAAGTCTAGGTATAAAAAAAACATAAAACATGTAACCCTCATGTTGTACCTTGCCTGGGATTTTAATTTGGCAGGCTCGAACATGGCTAAGCAAAGAGAGCAGGCAGTCTTGAAGATGATAAAGGATTTTGATAAATTTATCATGTATTTATTAATGCAAGTACTTTGTATTTAATCAATTAAATAGTGGCCAATGATTTGACCAGGTGTATGTCTTCTATACAGAATCCTATGCTGTTCTGACTTAGAAATTTCATCATTCATGATAAAACAAAGGCTTCAAGCAAGGAAAGGTTGGCTTAAGCCTGCAAAAACAACATAAATATCAAGAAACCAATTTCTTCTCAGACCATCTACTGCCTTCACTGAAGTCATGTTGGTGGACCTCAGCTAACTGGCTTACCAAGTGCAGGTTGCTAGTTTATTGAGATTCGTTCAAAATTTACATAAGTCTTCCTTATTTATCTGATATATCATGGGCAGAAAAGCATGCAGATTGCATGATTTCAGATAGATAGATATATATATTTTTAATTGACACGTTCTGTTTTTTGAACCAATATAAAAGGGAACAGGTGCCTATATTATAGGAATACTCTCTTTACAGAGTAATATCTACTTCATTTAATTAAAATTTGTCACCTGTCTTTGTCCCTCTTTCCAATAAATACTGAGTTTACATTGGAAAAGAAAGCCAGAGTTTTCTTTCCTAATATATACTTCACTGAGTTGCACCATCTAACACTTCAGGTAATTAGAAGATATGATTTAACTAGGATATTCATAGAATATTTTCAGTAACTTAGTAAAATTGTCATAACTAAGACCTGAGTTCTTGCAAGTTGTCACAATTTGGCCAATCCATAGTATCAGTTTCATTTCTGCAAAAAGTACAATGTGTATCTATATTTATCTAAATTTTCTGTCTAAGGACTTGCTAGTTCTGTCCAGATAAAAGATGAAGTTTTGAGCAGAATGTAACAACTAAAGTAAAAAACCATCCTACATACATTGCTTTCCTTGTCATTGCAATTTTTCTTGCCTCGTGAATCTTAATCTGCTTCTTTTTGTTTTCTAATGAAATAAATAAAAAGGCACTCATGGATTCTGCATGGCAAATATAGCTGTTCTTACTTACCCATCATATAGGGGTCTTCAACAAGAGGATAAAAGAAATCAGTGGTCTGGACAAGGGAGAGGCCTCCATGTCTTATTGGTGTCACAGAAGAGTCCATTCCAATCCCTAAAAATAAAAATGACCACTTTCCTTGTCACTTTGTGAGCATATATGCTAGTGTTAGATTATGCCTACCTTAAACATGATGCATTGTCAAGGCATTCGGTCAAGGGCATTACATACAAGAGCAAAGGATTTTCTGCATTTGACTTTAAGATGCACCTTGCCCCTATTTTGCCACCATGAACAGGCTGAACACTTGAAGATGTGATTGTGACTTCCTAAGTTTTTTAATGCCTATATTTCAGCATATCTTTCACAAATAAATATAATTTATGCATTGTACATGGCATTTTCATTTGAAAAACTGCAAAAATACATTGACTTAAAACTTATAAATACTTTTTTTTTTCAACTTTGAAAATATCTTTATCCAACCAATTAATAGTCACATCACTACTCATTACCCAGAGTGCCTTCACATTCATCCATGCATACCCAAGTTCCACCCTCAACCAATTGACAAGTCATCCCACTTGGGCTCAGCAACATCTCCTACACAAGATTACCAGGATTACTTACCTGATGGCATTCCCCAAGATACTCCAACATTTCAAAACCATTGAGTCACATTAGGGCAATCACTGTATAATTATGTTAGCAAACTTTCCCAGTTGAGGTATTTCTTAAGTATCCCATTTAGACGTACCCATCAACCAGTCATCACGTGCTGGAAAGATACATTGAGCATAAGGCATTCCTGAATCATATGCAAGTGACAAATCCTGTTTACTCCTGGTAGGTATGGATTGTCTATGTGGTTTCCATTGATATAGTCTCATACATAAGGAGCCTCAATGGAGGAGTCAACATGCAAGCCTAATTAACCCTTTCCCTGGCTTACAGAGATTAAAATCTCCAACTTCCTCCTGGAGACCTAAGTGGATGAGGCATTAGCATCACCTGGATGTAAAAAAGCATCAATGCCAGGGAAAGGGTTAGCCTGAATGTCCCTTGTAGGCCCATATTTCAACTCAGAGATCAACAATGCAGAATGGCATTTGAAGGAATCACCTGGTGATAGGTTAGCCTAAGATTACAGTGATTCAGAAGGAATGACTAAGCTGACAATAAGCCTCGACCAAGCCTGGGCCCCAACTTGCTTAACTTCTGCAGAAAACAGCTATAAAGAAGCCAAATATATGTTGATATCTGTCGTTTGCCCTGTGCTACACTCACCTAATGTTCAACGGTCTAGGCCTAGTCCACAATCACAATTACTTCACTCACCAATGCGTGTGAAAGTCATCTGCATAAAGTGGGCCTGTTCTTGATCCTGGGCATAATCATCCTGAAGTCCCTCCAAGAGCTTCAAAAGAATCTCCTGGGGGACTTTACACCCTCATCCTTTGAGATCAGCGAACCTCGTGAGCCTGAAATTGGCATCGAGGTCGTGTGCCACAGGATCGAACGGCCGCCTCAAGGTTAACGCATTGGAATTGCCCCCCAACTCCAGTTTGGCAGCTGCGAGGGCTTCTTGTGTCACGGTACCCGATGTAGGAGCCGCAGCTTCCATCGTCGTCAGGTACACACCAGCCGCGTTTTGTTGATCCATCATCATCAGGCCGAAACTGGCAACTGGAGGATCCTCGAACACCGCTACCGGCGAGGGGAAGAGAACGCTACACACGACAGAAGAGGAATGCTAGGAAGCCTATGACGTCAACGGGTTTCCTTCGCCCCCATTGGCCGATGGATCACGCGGACGAGTTCATTCGTCGCGGAAGGGGAAGATAGAAGGGAGGATGTCCAGCTGGGATGGGGGCAACGGCTCCTTTTTGCCTCGCATACACCTCTGCCAGAAACGTGGACTCCCCGTTCTCTATAGACTCCTCCGCCGCGTCGCCTTCCTATCGTCACTCCCCCCTGCGCCCCAGCCCTTGCCAATTGAAAAGCCCAGTGCTGCTCAATCCCCGTTCACGAATCTTACGCTATCCTGAGAGCTTAATTTCAGTTTCATCTTTCGACTTTCGTCGTCCTCATTTGAGTAATATAGGTAATACTAATAAGTAATTTTAAGATTTACCGAAGTCGATCCTGAAGGGTCATCGCAACACGTCCATCCGATCGGTTTCGATTACGCTTGCGATCATGTCTATGGTTGAATAGCATTAAGCACGATAGGTGCCTTGTAATAATGCTTGATAATGCTTGATTTCAACACTCAATATCAACCCCCCATGACTCGCATTTATACCCACGCATAAACTCAAAAATTGGTTTATTCCCTTCCACCCCGAGACCTCCCAAGTCCAAAAAGCGCCTTCTGCTTCGGTTCCTTACTTCCGGATGTCCAATATGCAGAAGTGGGCAGCATTTCAAATGGTTGTATTTAAAACAAATATTTCAATACATTTCAGGTATTTTCAATTTTTAATTTAAATACGTATCTCAATATGTGTTTGCATGTATATTATATTTGAAATACAGTTCTCGGGGGGGGGGAAGCTTTTTGAAATACATTTGACAAAATGTAAACTACTTTTTAATTGGTTTTGTGCAACTTCAAACATGGGTACCTAAGAAGGCTTGCCTTCTTTATTGGATCTTAAGTTCTTAAGTATTGTTGAAAGAGAGGGGCAGAAAGTCAAAGCTAAATGTGCTGCGTGATCTACAGAGAAAGTGATAAGTGAACTCTAACTGCAACATCCAATTTCTTCAAAAAGTAAAGGTTCGTTATGTTGAAATTTCTTGGTGGAAATTAGCTGACCTAACCAATCCTTGGCCCAAGCAAGGTTTTTAATTTGTGATATATTGACCATCTTTAGACCTAGGTCTTGTGCAAGCCCAAATCTTGCCAATGCAGGTTAATATTTATGTTCTTTGCAGAGAGTGCATCCAAATCTCGTTGAGGATTAAAAATTGTATAAAGAGGAGCAGTCTGGGATTCGATAAGGAAAACAAAGAATGCCATGCTCAGCCATTGTGCTGTGAAGGCCAAAGGTCAGAACTTCTGAAAGGTTCCTGATTTTGGACAAAATCTGAAAGGCATGATATAAACTTGAACATTTTTATGTTTTTGCATTTTTAACTGTATTTTAAAATACATATTTTGTATTGTGTATTTGAAAAAATATTATTGGGGATGTATTTATATTTTGTATTTACAATAGATTTTTTCATGGGCATTTGTATTTTGCATTTAAATACTCAATCACTTGTATTTTGCCCAGCTCTGCCAATAGGGTATCGTTGAATATATATGTATGCGATGAAAGACGTAGCGCAATGTTGGGCTTTCCTCATAGAATTTCCACCCGCACAACTATGAGCAAATGGTGCTCGCAAATAGGGCTTCGTTTAGAAATGTCGAACGGTAATGAAACTGTAAAATTTAACGAGAATGAACGGCTGCGCGCGTAGAGAAAGCTGAAGCGGGGAGTAGCCAGTGGCAGGAACGAAATGAGGTTATGCGCACACTGAGGCCCCACTCGTGTGATCAGAGTGTATGAATGACTCAGATTCATGTGAGTTGCACCATAGGGTAGAGAGTGTAACTAGAGGCGACACTCCGCTCGAATCCCATTCGTTGACAGGGTCGCAATATAGATGTCACTGTCGTTCTTAACGTGCGCACATCAACAACTCCATGATCGAGCAGCGAACTCAACGAGACACGTGTTACGTTGAGGGATCCCTTTGGGTCGAATCCCCGAACGAGTCGATTCCCGATTCCGCTGCTAAGAAGCACGCCTCATGTGAGTGCTGCCGATAACAAGCCATCAGATGTCTTTGCAATATTTCGCCCCCCCCCCCCCCCCCCTTGAAGAGTCGCCTCTACAGGGTGTTCCATAAGTCCCAGGTCATTATTATTTACAATGATTATTATAGATATTAATTCTTAGTTCTTGATAATTAATAAAGTAATAATTAATTTTTAGAACTTGGAGATGGATTATATTGTGCCAAGACAATGGTAGAGCACACACTGACCTACTGGATCAATAACTGGCTAAGTGACCTGGGACTTAAGGAATACCCTGTAGTTACAGTGAGGGACAAAGCTGTTGCAATGTTCGACACATTGCCAGTTTATGACTCATATCTCGAGTATGACGGGTTCAATTTAGCTTAAATTTCAGTCAATCATACTCCTACTTCCTGGCTTTCGATTGGCGCTGGGGCGCAGGGGGGAGTGACGATAGGAAGGCGACGCGGCGGAGGAGTCTATAGAGAACGGGGAGTCCACGTTTCTGGCAGAGGTGTATGCGAGGCAAAAAGGAGCCGTT